AAATTTAATACGTCTATTTGAATATTTCATATTTTTTCGTTACAATATAATATATATTTTTAAAAAAAATATAACTAAAACTTAATCAATGACTTTTTTAAACAATAAATAATTAAAGTAATCATGTTTTTAATTATTTTATAATATAATAGTTATTACTAAAGCTAACCAATTATAATTCACCCTAAATGATATATAGAAGTTCAATAAATATAAAATATTACATGGCAATTTTTTTAAAAACTACTCTTAAACTTTTTTTAATAAGCTAGTTGACTTTACTGCTATAACAAAACGGTCCAACCCTCTTAAATTTCATAATAATAATAATAATTTTTAAGATAATAATAGGTCCAGATCTATCATATTTTATAAAAACTATATTATCCATTTCATTTTATGTTATCAATATAGTGATGAAATGAAATATTTTTATAATGTTCAGTTTCACTAATGACAACATTTTTAAAATGTGATACTATTATCTAGCTAACTTTTAATCTCTCTCTCTCTATATATATATAATTGCTGGCAAACTTTAATAAATTTTATTCAGCCAGCAATTAATAATAATATTAGTTCATTTAATAAAAATAGATGTTTATATAATAAAAATATGTTCACCATTTAATAAAAATATGTAACTTTGAGTTACACGAATATGTTCACCATTTAATAAAATCTTTCAATTACACGATTTATTTTGGCAGGACCCATTTTGGATGGGGACCATTTATGTAATACTCCCTCCTATTTTTATTATTTGTCATCCTAGCTTAATTGATCATCTGTTAAATAAATGTTGTTTTGGCTATTTTGTACATATTTTTTCATTATTACCCTCATATAACTAATAAATACACTACGTCTTTTCATATTCACTATCCATCTTTTCTCAAAACATCAATCTCGATCCTCGTTAATGAGGGTTATTATTGGAAAAAAAAAATATTCTTAATTATTGTGCAACTTCTCAAAACGACATTTATTAAAAATAGGAGAGGGTACATTTTAGTGTCCTGAAATACAATTATAATGCTAATATAATAACAAAAAGTCAGTTACACGATTTATTTTGATAGGTCCCAATTTTGGATGGTGGCCATTTCTTTTATAATTATAATGCTAATTTCTAATAATGACCATAATTATAAAATGTGATATACTTATTACATAACTTATAATTTTAAATATAATAAATATTTTACTTGCATACATATAACTTATAATAACTTAAATATATGTGCATGTGCACATGATTGAATACTAGTTATGTTAGAACATAGAAATTATTACGACTATCCTAAAGATTTGTCACCTTACTGCATCAACAATTGAGCAAGCTGGAATCTCTACTGTCATTTTTGTCATTTTTGTGTAGAAGAAATTAATGAAGGAACCAGAGGGTCTTGGGAATGAAAGCCTTCGAGTTGGAGTTGTACTCTCGAGCACGAACGAGGTGGAACCGGAGAACATGGCTAGTCCTAGCTTTCAAGTCGTAACTTAGTACTGTACTGATAGAATGAATTTTCTGAGTCTCAAAATGTATAATTTTTATTTCTTACTGCATCAGAACTCTACTTGGGTTGTTAGACGTTGGTACCTGGAAGTTGTACCTCAAACATCAAAATGTTCATAACCTGGTCTAACTAGGTCGTAATAACTATACTTGCACAAAATAAATAAATCAATAAATAAATGAGAATATCAGTTCATAAACAAATGTATGAGCTGTATACGTGAATGCCTGGTTCAGATGAACAGGAAAAGTCGGGATCTGTCGTCCATGTACAACTTGCAGAAAATATTAAAATAACAAATAAAACATGAAAATAATTGCATAACCTGACGCTAAATCATCCACTTGATACTTGAAGTTGATCTTATTATTAATTCCACACATTCCGGTGATCATGCAGATGAAGTCAGAAAGAATAGTTGACACGCCAAAAGTCAGCACCACAAAAAACAAGCCAGTTAAACGATAATTCAAAAACACACACTATCTTTTATATTGAAACATTCGTTCGTTCATCTTTGTTGCTTTAAATTTGTTCTACTTGCATCCTCAGAAAAAGAACAAGTAAACAGAGAGGTCCGAACATGGCAGCTTATGCAGCTTTAGTTTCACTCACGCATATCATCAAACACCTTCAGCACCATCCTCGCCCTCCCATTACTCTCGACCAAAAACACATCCTCTCGCTCACCCAAAACATTACTTTCTTGCAAGATTTCCTTGAGAGCTATCCCGTTACACCTAAAGATGCCTTAGAGAGTCGTATAACCGATGTAGCTTATGCGGCAGCGGAGATAATTGAATCCCAAGTAATCCGCCAAATTCTTGCTGAATTATCCGCAAACCCCAGTGAAGAAAATATGGCTTCTGTTGATTTTTGGCATCGCCTAGACAAAGTGATACAAGATATGGATTTGATCAAGGAAGATGCGACCGGATTCCAGCCGGATCACGGCAAGTCAACGCCGGCGGGTCGTTCAAAATCTCCTCCGACAATCCACAAAACCATGGTGGGGTTTGATGGGATCAAATTCGAGGTCATGGATAAGCTCACCCGATCTCATACTGACCGTCAGATCATCCCAATTTCAGGTATGGGCGGAATAGGTAAAACTACACTTGCTAGAAATATCTATTCAGATCCACTCATCAGGCATCACTTTGACATTCTTGCATGGGTCACGATTTCTCAAGAATACAGAGTGAAGAAAGTTCTTTTAGATGTCATCCTCTGTCTGAAAACCATTACTAACACTACTGATGAGTTGAACCAGATGAGCGAACATAAATTGGGAGAAATGCTATACAAAAGTTTAGTCGGTCGGAAGTATTTCATCGTGATGGATGATATATGGAGTATTGAGGCATGGGAAAAGGTGAGATTCTTCTTTCCAGATAATAACAATGGAAGTCGGATACTTGTGACAACACGGTTATCAGACTTGGCTTCTCAATTTGCGAGTACATTTGGCTTAGAGATGAATTTTCTTGATGAGGATAAAAGTTGGGACCTATTGCGCAATACCGTGTTTGGAGAAGAAGAAGATTGCCCTGTGGAATTGGAGAAGGTCGGGAAAAAAATTGCCGAGAAATGCAACGGACTTCCATTGTCACTCGTCGTGATTGGAGGACTCTTGGCAAAATCCAACCCAACACGAAAATACTGGGAAAACGTTTTGGGGAATTTAAACGCGATCGTGAATTCAGAGGAAAACGAGCGTTGTTTAAGAATACTGCACATGAGCTATGACGAGTTGCCGGTTCATTTAAAGCCGTGTTTTCTTCACATGGGAATGTTTCTTGAAGGCTGTGAGATTCGCGTCCCTAACCTCATCAAAGCATGGGTTGCCGAAGGATTTCTAAAACCACACTCTGTTAAAACCTCAGAGGTTTTGGCGGAAGAGTATTTGGAGGACCTCATCGCAAGGAATCTAGTTCTGGCCCGCCGAAGGGGTCCCACTGGAAAATTAAAACTATGCGCTGTTCATGATCTGTTGAGGGACCTTGGAGAACGAGAAGCAGAAAAACAAGATTTCCTTTGTGCCAGAAAAGGGCATAATCTTAGCTTTTTTACCATACGCCGTGTTGCCCCATATCATCTGAGTCCGGACGTTTTTGATCCCATGTATTCTAACTCTTTCGTGCATGCTATGGTGTGTAACAATTCGAAAGGCCTGCCAGTTTCGAGATTCGGGTTGTTGAGGTTTTAAATATGTATATTCTTTCTCAGCTGAAGATGTTTCTCAGCTAGTTAACACCCGGTACATAGCTGCCCAACTTAACTGGATATCCCATCCACAGATTCGTGGATTTCCTTCTTCCGTCTACTTCCTTGCTAACCTTCAAACGCTAATTGTTCTTGATAAATGCCGAATCAGCTCGCCATTTGTAATCTGGAACATGGCTCAAATTAGACATGTCCAGATCGACTCATTTTGCCTCTCGACTCCTTTTCCTCCTTCTCAAGTGGACACTGTTTTGGAAAACCTACAGACACTCTCCACAGTAAATAACCTGGATTTGAGCAAAGAGGTTGTCAATAGAATCCCCAAAATCAAGAAAATGAAATTAAATTTCGAGGGGAAAGAAGTTTCGCGTTTGCATCTCGAAAATCTCGGCTATCTACGTGAACTCGAATCCCTTTCCTTAAGATTTCCCATCTCATCACTAGTGAGACAAAGTGAGTTGCTTCCAATCCCAGCATGCCTTTCGCATTCCCTCACGAAGTTATCTCTCGAGAGCTGCTATCTCGATTGGGAGGATATGAACACGAAAATCGGTAGCCTTCCCCTTCTTCAGGTGCTAAAGCTGAGACTGTGTTCCTTTGTGGGGCCCTTGTGGGAGACTGATGAAGACCAGTTCCAGAGCTTGAAATTCTTGCTGGTTGAGATGTGTCGTGATTTCGAGTGCTGGAAGAGTGAGAGTGCCCACTTTCCGCAACTCGAGCACGTTGTGTTGAGAGGATTGCGTGAGTTGAAGGAGATTCCTTTGGGTATTGAAGATGTAGCTACGCTTAAGTATATTGACTTGGATTGTTGTAGTGATTCAGCTGTTATTTCTGCTCGATGTATAGTTGATGAGCAGGAAGAACTCGGGAATGTAGGGCTTCAAGTTCGAGTTCGCCTTTGGAAAAAGAATCGGGAGCTGGAGAGCTTGGCGAGTGACGTTTTTCAAGTAAAGATCAGGTAAGAAGTGAACCTGCCTTCATTTATGTACATATTATCATTTTTTCAACAATAAATGGTCATTTCCTGTCGAGAAATGGCTATAAAAAGATGTTGACTTTACATAAATGGCTAAAAATCTAGTAGATTGTAATTCCTATCCCTTCATTCATTAGGGATGGATACCTCAACGAGGAGTGAACAATTTGATATCTGAAGGAGAAACTTATTTAGTGAAAGGCCAAGCATACGCCAAGAAGCAGATGTTATCTCTGCAACAGCCAAATCAGAGATGTTACACAAAACACCAGGGTAAAGAGATGGTTTTGTTTTATTCAGTCAAACGTACCTACAAATATGTACTCCATGAAGATGTGTTACTTGTTACAACTTTTCTTTTTTAGCAACAGATTCATTCTTTGAGTGCTCCTGTACACTTGTTAAACCATCGTATTTTTTGTTGTGTGCAAATTTTAGTTAACATATTGATCAAGAGTTTCGAGTTTGTTTTTGGGTTTCAATCACGTGTGCCATATCCTGTAGGAGTCAAAGTGATGTTATGATACTGAGAGTGATCAAGTTAGGTTGATCCCTTCTGGTTATACATGATAATTACTGTTTTNNNGCCTACGAACTGAAAAACGGTAGTCTAGTGACATTCACTTTAGCAAAAGAACAACATTGCAAAACCGTGACCTTGGTAAATACATTATCCTCATGTTTTGAACAATGTACAAACGCGCGCTCTAACTTCTTACATGCGCTTAAACGCCCTTAACTGGACGATTATGTAGCGAACAACTTCCTCTAAGGTGGCCGCCTTGTTCTTCATAAAGCTCCATAGCTGGGGCACAACATAAGATCCACTTATTGGGTCATATCTTTGAAGTACTTTTAAGGCTGTAATAACTGCATTGTAGGCTTCATGTCCCCATTTATACTCTAGGCCACGTAACAACTCATCATCCTTGTTCACCACCCACTGCATTGATGATTGAATTGAACACCAATGATTTATTTACTCATAAGATCCCACAAGTATTGTTCTATTAGTGGTCCAAATTCATGATTCATTCTTGCAAAAAATAGTAATGAGGAAATAATGATTGAGAAAAAACACGAAAAAACAAATTGATCGATAATGATTGAACAAGTTAAAGTAGAAATGAGAAAACTTGGGCACCAAAAGATGATTTCTTGATTTAGAACACATGACAACAAAGAGGGATGCCAAAAAGTATGCAAAAATCAAATGGATAAATAATGATTGCCTATTTAAAGAAAAATGAGATGAGATGGGATGTGACTTGGAGCTTTACCTGAGGCTCCCATCTTTTGTATTCAACGAACTTGAATGGGTTCCATTCTGGATTTTTCATCTTCTCTTGCCACAAGGAGCAAAGTTCGTCGGCCATGATCTGAGGTTGTTCGAGTGGGAACCTTAGGCTGCATGCATTTCTGAAGTCTTTTGTTTCTATTTCAGCTACTCTTTTTGTCCCCATTATGTGATTGCTGCTTAGAATCAGCAAATTATACAATCCCTGACAACAAGCAACACGACAACTTTGTTTCACGTCAGAATTTGCAGCCGATTTCTTAGTTAGCTTTTTGAAAATGACCATCTTTAAGTAAACATACCACGATCAGCTTTTTGAACGCTTCCTGACTCGGCTCAGACATCATCTCTATCTTTTGCCAAATATCACCACAATTCCCATCAGCATCTCCTACTTTTTTCATCATCTCTATCTTTGCTTCAAGTAATTCAATTTCCAGTTCCAGTCTTTGCTTCTCATGTTCAAAACGCTTCTCAAGTTCGACAACCTTCCGGAGGGCTGCCTCCTTTTCTCTCTGCAAAAGTTTGTATTTTACGCATGCCACAGTACACGAAAGGTAATGGAGCGGGCAATAGTTTACTAAAGTTCATACATATTCAGGCTTGAACAAATCCCGAGCAATCATAGAACGATATTTCATACCCATCTTGACTTTAGCCTGACAGGAAGTGTAAAATGCTGGACATGTCTGCATATAACATGTAATACTAATGTATAGCATGAGCCATGAGCAAAAACTAACCATTCTATTCTTGAAATGAAGTTTTCGTCTCTGACTTTCGATTAATGCTTCACGCTCCGCCAGTTCTTCGCTCCATGAATGAAGCCTTCGTTTCTTATCATCCAACACTTTCCGTTGCTCGTGCACCTTAGCATGCTCCTTTATGATGCTTTCCAGCTTTCTTATTTCTATTTAATAAGAAGGATAGAAGGGAATTTTTTCCTTTTCCGGTATCCACAAGTTTACTTAATTTTCGGTTTTGGTACCCTAAGTTTTACCTTAATCAATTTGAGTACCTTAAAATTCAAATATTAATCACATTTAGTACATCCCATTAGTTGAACCATGATTAACTGAAGATTTAGTCATTGGATTTTCACAAAAAATACATTATTAGAAAGAATAAATTTCGAAGTATTCAACCGACAAAGTTTCCAGCAGCGATTCCCGTGTAAATGTGTAAAAACTTCACCGACGATAGAAATGTAAATTTTATGAGACAGNGTACCAAATGTTATTAACCAACGGAACATAGGGTACAAAAATCAATTAAATTGAAATTTGGTTACAAAAAATAAAAATAAAAAAATTAAAAAAAATGTAACGAAAATATAGATATCATAATTAATAGAACATGGAATGGCTGACAGCCAACATACCTTCAGAAAGTGCACGGCAGAGATGGTCTCTCTCTTGAAGCTTACTATCGGGCAAGCTAATTTTTTCTTCATATTCAGAATCATTGGCATTAACATGCGGGCCTCCTCCCATCTGAATTACATATTAAAATGACGTAACATAACAATAATTATAGGAAAAACATTAACAATATAGTTTAGATTGAGGACATTATTTCCTTTGGAAGTCTACAAGGCTAGCTAAAATACATGTTTAACCAAATCTCCTTTTTCTATATTTTTAATTTCTTAAAACAAAAATAAAACAATGTTCAGAAAAATTAACATCCTCATTTTACAACGAAAGTTAGAAAAGATAAAAACCGACATAGAAATGTAACTAATCGCTCCTCCTCAATCGTAGCTTGAATGCTTGATCCAGAAAACTACTACACAGTATATTATAGCTTGAATGCTTGATCCAGTATATTATATCAACAAATTAGGAGTATATTTCTAGGCTTTTTAAGAAGCTATAATATAAGTTTTCTTGGAAATTCAAAGGTTGTTGATAATTTTAATGGCAGACGTCTCTTTAACTTCTACCCAATAGAATTGATGCGTTGCTTAATAAATCCTTCCCTTAGCTTCTAACCAGTCGAATTGATGAGTTGCTAAATAAATATTTCCATTTGGTGTAATTTTAAGAACTTTCTACTAGTTAGTATACTATCCAAGTCAATTAAAGATATAAATGAATCACCACTAAAAGAAATTATTTATCTATTTTAATACTATTAAGGGAACGCTCAAAACAGAGACATTAATAGTAATTAAAAACGATCACAAATACACGAAGAATCAAGATAAACTAAAAATCTATATATCTATATAGGATATGGTTCAAATGAGAACTAAGTCCTAACGTGAGAACCGCTATTTTTAATTGTATGTACACTATAAAAAAATTGTTATATTCCAACGAAAAATCCTATGGTGATATATTCCAATGGAAATTCCAACGGATATTCCAATGGTATAGTTTCCATTGGAATGATTCTAACGAAAATATTCCGTTGGAATGTATTTTTCATTAGAATTTTAGATGAAATTTGATGATTCCAACGGCTTTTCACAGTAGGAATTTCCGTTGGAATTTTTATTTCCACCACTGTTGGAAAATCTACCGTTGGAATCGTCAAAATCCAACGGAAATTCCAATGGAAAACCAATTCCAACAAAATATTTTTGTTGGAATTTTCCGTTGGAATTATTCCAACGGAAATAATAGCATTGAAATATCCATTAGAATTGCCATTGAAATTCTATTGGAATATATTTCCGTTGGAATTTCATTATTTTCTTGTAGTGGTAGTGCTATGATTGATTGTATTTTAGTGCTATTTTTAATTAGGATTTATTTTATAAAAAATAGCAACAAAATTTATGTTAGCATTTGTGAAAATGATAGCACCATGTAAGATTAAAAATAACATCATACACAATTAAATGTAGCATCAAATATGGTTCTCACGGTTCTCACACCAGGATTAGTTTTTATTTGAACCAACCCCTATCTATATATCTATATAATTGTAGGCTATTACATTAATGCAACATCCTACCTTTTCCCGCTCATTGTTTTAAGTTATTTTTAGTATGTTTCACTTATCATTTTGTTTGTGCTTTGTAATTAATATTCAAATATTTAATAAAAGTTGTAACGGTCATGTCTTAAAAATTAATATAATTGCACTCTTTGTTAATTTGATAAGTAAAACTATATACGTACCCAATAAATTACTGTACCTATATATATATCCTTCCTTCTTATTTTACATTTATTTAACATTTGAATTTAAAATTACTCATGCTTATTTTTAACCATTTTAATTAGGGCAATAAAATTGATTTTTAAGTCAGTTATTTAAAGTAAAGTAATATATAGATTTTGAAGTTTCCTTAGGAAATAAATTTATAAAAATATATCATAACCATATCAATTATTTTTCTTTTCATTTGTAGAGATTACATTATTAATATATATGATAAATAAACCTACTTATTTTTTTCCCAGCAATTTTAATAATGTAAGTTAATGTAAGTTAAGAGAACGCTCAAAACAAAAACATTAATAGTAATTAAAAAAGATCACAAATACACGAAGAATCAAGATAAACTAAAAATTTGTAGAAGAATGGAATGTATTATTTCATCTCATGATGTAATAGCTTAATTTTGTGTATGCAAATAGTTTATTGATGTAGCCCTGGCCCATCACTATATGGCATCTCATTTTCCCAAACACCAACTTTCTGCATCTTGGGACCTATGAAATATCCCAACTCTACTGTTGCAACTCCACTCATTTATTTTTCTTAATTTTTTTGAACTTTTCGTCTTTGTGGTTTAGTATTGTATTTTCATTTCTATATTTGGGTTGTACATTACATAAAATGAAAATAAAGCTCCTCTAGTTGAGGATTGCAGCACATGCCAGAGAAAACTGAATATCCATTCTTGCAAATGATTTCTGTTCAAATTTGATTGAATTTAGTGTAACCATACCAGAACAAAAAATTTATGACATTACTCAACAAATAAACTGTCACAAATCAATCTACTCAGTACCTATATGATGTAGGGAAGCGTACGGGTGGGAAAGATAAACGAGATACTCTCTCGTAAAATACACAAAACTCACAATATCTGATTCAATCTCAAAATTCATCGCCGAATAACAAAGAACAGGAGTCTTTAAATAAGACACCCTAACCCTAAAACCTATATTGTGCACCAAGCCACTAAATATAAATAAATATTATTCTACATCATTCTCCTCTGGTTGAGCAGGATTCGTCATCGAATCCGACTCGGTCTCGTTGGAAATGTCCACATGACAGGAATCGTCCGACTTTTTCTCCTATCGAATACGAACGTTGAATGTAGCATATGTTTGCAAAGCCGCAACAAATTTATATGGGAGAAAAGCTCGGGCCAACGCAACAAATAACCTACCAATTCTTCCAGAACCTTCGGCACGTCATCAAGGGCACCAACATCGTAGGGAAGCGTACGAGTGAGACGATATTAATGAGATCGCAATCTCACGAACACTAAAACACGATATCAAATCTTATTTCATTTCAATAATCAACTGAATATTACAAAAGAGGGAAATCCTTTATATAAGGCTCCTAAACCCTAACAGTAACTTGCTCACTAAGATTAAACATAAATAACAAATAAATAGTAAATGCTAATAATAATAATAATAATAATAATAATAATAATAATAATAATAATAATAATAATATTGTAGTAGTAGTAGTAGTAGTAGTAGTAGTAGATACTAATTAAACTACCAAATATTCTAATACAATAAATAATAGATATTATTCTACATCATTCTCCTCCGGTTGAGCAGGATTCGCCCTAGAATCTGACCCGATCTCGTTGCCAGCGTGAGGAGTCGTACCCAAGGCAACAATCACCCGGCGTTTTTCTCCTGTCAAACACGAACTTTGAATGTCGCATCTGTTTGCAAGGCCGCAACAAATGCTCTTGGGAGAAAAGCTCGGGCCTGCGTAACAGATAAACTATCAATGTTTCCAAAACCTTCTTCACGTCTTCAAGGACAACAACATCATGAAACTCGACATCAATCACGGCGTGGCTATCGAGGCCCGAAACAAACGATCTCCCGGAAGAAACCACAAGAATCGCTGCAATTTCTAACTTTGCAAATTGTCGAACGTAGCCAAATACCCTGTGAGGCCACGACACGATTATCACAGGTCGTCAAGATGATTCGCATGGCGTCGCATATGCTCGGGATGCTCCGTTTTTCCATGTTCGTAATGTCCACATCAGTCAGAGGCTCCATGAGGAATTCCTCCTCTAGGCTCCTCATCGAAAATTGGCGGACCATCGTATAATAGCCCATCATCTTCTTCAAAATCGCACTCTGTTGTTGCACATCTTAGTTGTCGTGTGCAGCAACGAGCTCAGTCTCGACGAGCGGAGACGGCCACTCTCCGAAGAGATCCACCTCCGATATGGTCTCGTCGCCGTCTTCATCGCCGGACGGTAGTTGTGGAGATCTCCGGCGGGGTGCCCCGCCTGGACCACGGCCTCCACATCCTCCGTGAACTCCCCCGCGCATGCCCCAGTTGCCGGTGTCATGATTCGTCTGCAAATCCTCAACCATATTGTTGATCGTAAGACGCACTTCTTTGATCCCGGACGAAAGATTCTCAATTTGGCGATCCAATTGATTGATCTGACTTCCGAAGCCCATGGCTTGTCGACCCGGATACTCAATTGTGGTGTCACGCCCGTTGATGTCGTCCTTCCGTGGCGGCATCTTAAATCGTGTTAACTTCTGATACCAACTGATGTAGGGAAGCGTACGAGTGAGAAAGATAAACGAGATACTCCCTCGTAAAACACACAAAACTCACAATATTTGATTCAATCTCAAAATTCACCACCGAATAACAAAGAACAGGGGTCTTTAAATAAGACACCCAAACCCTAAAACCTATCTCGTCCATCAAGCCACTAATTATAAATAAATATTATTCTGCATCACTATATGTTATGAAAATTTTTCTCATGCATCTTTCTCATGTTATAAAAAGAATTGTCCAGTTGATCAAACTGACACTAATCTATAATTCTAAATCATTATCCACTTCAAAGTATTATATCTTATTCTTTATCTCAGAAACTCAGGAAAACACGGTAAGAAAGCAGAGTTTGCAACCATCACCAAGAGCACAAAGTCAATCTTATAAAATAAGCTCGTCTTTTCATAATTCAACAGACACTATATTTCAATCTATATTACTTCCTTTTGTTTCTGCCAATCCGAAGCAAAAATCAGATAAAGAAAATTAGAGAAGCCAATGGCGACTTATGCAGCTCTAGTTTCTCTTTGGCATGTCATAGACCAAATCCAGCATCACAGCCGCCCTCCCATTTCTCTCGACAAAATTCTAGCTGCATTTATAACTGAAAACGTTGCTTTCCTGCTAGAATTTCTCGAGATTTGTTCCCTTAATAGTGGCAATGAAGAACACAAAAACACCCTGGAGAGTCGTATTTCTCGAGCAGCTTATGCAGCAGAGGATATAATTGAATCCCACATAGTTCATCAAATTAAAGCTAACCAGAAATATTTATGTAAATCCGTTTATCATGAATTAATTTGGTTTCTGTGCTTGGGCCACCATTTCTCAAGCATACAACGTTAAAAGAAATTATATTACAAGTCGTACTCTCCTTAGAAACAGGAAGTCCTGACTCAAATGAGGGATGAGGAGGCCTTGACTCGGATGAGTGAACATGAAATTAGGAGAGGAACTGCATAAAATTTTATCAGACTAGAGGTATCTAATAGTAATGGGTGACATGTGGAGTGCCAAGGTGTGGAATAAGGCGAAGTTCTTCTTTCCAGACAATAACAACGGAAGCAAGATAATGATAACCACCAGGATATCAAACCTGGCTCCCGAGTTAACCGATTCAGATGTCGTCAACATGAGTTTTCTAAATGAAGACCAAAGTTGGACTCTACTTTGCAAGAGAGTTTTCTAAATGAAGACCAAAGTCGATTCAGCTGGACAATTGTAGTGATTCGACGGTCATTTCTGCTTGGAGCATACTCGAGAAGCAGGAAGAACTCGGAAATGAAGGCCTTCGTATTCGGGTTCGTTCATCGAGAAAATAACAACTTTATAAAACTGATTTAGATCATTTTAGTCTACGGGACTATATATTCACATGAGAATTGGTTGGCCTGCAAATATGTCAAATGTGTCATGTTGTCAAAATGTGAATTTCATGGCAGTTTAATAAATGTAAGCAACTCAAGGTGTAGCAACTATGACTCGTTTTTTCTTAACCAAACCAAAACTTCTATACTTTGTTCTTCATTTTTATTGTATCTTTGTATATTGGGAATATAAGGAATAAGATAACAGTCAACTGCTAACAATACAAGCATTGTTATCAAATGGCGTTACAGCGTGGCGGATTTCTGCAAAACCGCGATGCTAAATTTGGGAAGGATGGCGATTATGGCTGCGCCATAGGCCGCAATGGCGGGAGTTTGGCCTGCCACTGTTTACCGCCATTCGTCATTAATAACACTGCATACAAGACGCTCATATTTAGACGAAAGGTCTTGGTTCTATTTTAATTACTATGCTCACATCCACCCTTCCTAAATCTATACCCAAAAAGACAAAAAAGCGAGAATTAATTTAATTATTTAATTAATAAATTTTTGAATAAATTAATATGCGATTAATTTTTGTGTATTATGTTTCGCCTATTAATCGCATATTTTAATGACTCGAATAAGCAAACTCGTCATTCGAACATTCCTTTCTGCATGCCTTGAAAGTTAAAATGTCCCATATCAACAAGTACTACATAAATGATTACGAAGCAACTTGAAAGGTTAGACATCAGTATAAATACTACATGAACGAAGTCCATAAATTTCATCCACATCTCTACCACGATGTATAAGAAAAAAAAAATGGATGTATTTTCTGTTTTTCAATGTTAACATCGTCTATATTCGCATCTCGATCGTAGGTTCATGTTATTAATTTCATGGTTCTCGTCTTTCATCAGCGTATGTTCGATCAGTTCATACAAGTCGTCATCTCCATCGTTTTTCATCAGGTTTCTCCAGTTATTGATCTCAGACCGGTCCACGATCCTCCATCTCATTGCTCATTGCTTTGGGGATTTTCATTTTTACAAACTTTGGGTATTTTAGATGTTGAAAAACTTCCTTCACATGTTTTGCACTTGCTCGATTATTTTCGCTTGTCAGTCGCATATTGATCGCATAAGTAATTTGCACTTGCTCAATTAACTTTGCTCAATTAACTTCGTTTGTCTGTTGCATACACTTTATAACATAATTATTTCGCACTTTCCTAATAAACTTCACATGTTTGTCGCATAGTTTATCACATAAATACTTACCAATTATTTTCGCGTGTTTATCGCATAGCTTTTTGTATAATATTTTCGTATTTTATCGATTATCTTCGCTTGTTTGTCGCATAACTATTTTGCACTTTATCAATTATTTTTTTCTGTCTGTCGCATAGCTTTTTATATAAATGTTTCTCACTTTATCAATAACATCTATCTGTCGCATATCGCATACATATTTTGCACTTTAATAATTATCTTCGCATGTATGTCGCAGTTTATTGCATAAATATTTCGTACTTTGTAAATTATCTTTACTTGTCTGTCCTCCCAATACTTTATGCATAATATTACTATTTATGGCATAATATTTCTGCACTTTATTAATTATCGCATAACTATTTGACACTTTATCAATTATCTTCGCATATTTGTCTCATAAATATTTTGCAAAAGTAAACTTATTATTTGACAGTGTTAAAAACTTAGTCCATCGTGTGAAAATAGTTATTTCCACTTATATTTTACAGTGTGTTTAAACTTAATTAATTATTAATTAAAAATAGTACTACCTCCTATTCTTTTTAAATGTCATTTTGGCTTTATCAACTATTAACCAAAATAAATGTCGTTTTGGATCTTTTGTACATATTTTTCCATTATTACCCTCATTTAGTTAATAAATACACTACGTCTTTTCATATTCTCTTCATCTTTTTTTTTTTAAAACATCCATCTCTATCTTCATTAATTCATTAATGAGGTTATTATTGACAAAAAAAATTATTCTTAATTAATGTACAACTTCCTAAAATGACATTTATTATGAATAGGAGGGAGTATAAGATAGGATATCAGTGTATTATTAATTTTTTCACGAAATATAAATTTATTCAAGCATTATCTTTCCATATCTCAGGAAATGAATAGTTGTTTCATTGTTTGTGTTGCAAAAACTATAACTTGGGACGGTTTTCAGGAGTGATGTAGAACAACAAAAGTTTCAACTGTGTCTTGAGCTAAACAAACTGGTATAAGTGGAACATTTTACCTGGGGCTGATTGTACGGAGATCTTTATCTTAATCTGTTCCAATTTAATTGTGGACGCAGGTTTCCCTCTGCTAACTGGAGTGAATATCGCATCATCTTCATTTGCCCTTTTTTCCATTGTCAGCTCCATCATCATCATCATCAGGATCAAGTCTGGCAGCGTCAATTGCCCATTTTATCACCTTGTCGACCTCATCTTCCTCACTCTCTTCATCTTCTCGCATCTCTTGATTAGCCGAAACACCGCCGGGAAAATCGATTTTGATTTCGCTCCTATTGTGAGACGGAAGCGAGCTTTTCAGGGCCCCGAATCTGGCAAACAGATCGTCATCAACCTCTCTCGGGGGATTGTCGATTTTGGTCTGCTTTTTCAAGGCTTGGAAGCGGCGGTCGAGATCTGGATCGATGACGGCGGAGGCAGAAGCACGCGCCATATGGGAATTGAGGTTTAGTTTGAGAAGCGACTCGTCTTGCGCTGCTCGCAGTAGCTGCTCCACCTCATCGTCATCGGCAATTTTCCTCCCTGAGCCGCCCATTTGCCACACGCCTATCGAGATGAGAAAAATCTAGAATGTCTATTTTCACCCACACAAATGGACCTTTGCCATTAAAAACAGGGAAAAAAAAAATTTATCCTCTTAAATATGCCATTTTTTTTTAACAATTTGACTAACAATGTAATCAAAATTGACAATTTGCCTCATTGATTGAAAACCCTAATATGGCATAAAAGAGTTTTTAATTCAATTGATGATAAATTTTAAATTAATTTTTAAAATTGATTTAAGGTTTTTAAAGTTCATGGCGAGACGAACAAAATGAGGTATGATTTGTCGAATTTTGAAAATTGATACCTCTATAATCAATCCACGAAGATAGTAGGAGTACATGTATATAGAAAAAAATTCAATTCAAGTTTTTTGATAATCAAGATATCCGATTTTCGATTGGGAGGTGTCATTTGAAAGGTAGTAGAACCAATTTTCTAACACATAAATCTTATGAAAATCCAACGGTCGGATTTTGATCAGTATTTAGAAAACTACTGATCAATAGTTAGCTTTTATTTAGGCTACTCACCAAAATCCGACCGTTGGATTTTCATAAGATTTACTTCGATAGAAAAGTCGTCCTCCAAGCTTTCAAATTACACCTCTTAATCGAAAATCGGATATTTTGATTATCAGAAAAATTGAATTAAAATTTTTTCTATACACACGTGCTCCTGCTATCTTCGATTTTAGAGGTTCTTTAGAAATCGACAAACCATACCTCATTTTGTTCGTCTCGCCAGGAGTTTTAAAAGGCCTAAATCAATTTTAAAGATTAATTTAAATTTTATCATTAATTGAGTTAAAAACTCTTTTGTGCCATATAAGGATTTTCAATCAAGGAGGCAAATTGTCAGTTTCGATTACATTGGGAGGCAAATTGTCAAAAAAAAAAAAAATGTATAATAAATTAGATATCATACACAAAGATCTTATGTGCGATTGACATTTTTATTCTCGNACTATCCTTTAGAGCAGTATATATTATATTTTATAATTTGTTTATATTTTAAACATGTGTTTTAAAGTTTTCCATTAGTTCTATCAGTCATTAAGGGCACGATTGGTGATTGGATATGAATTCAAAAGTTTTGACCGATTTTGTTTGGTTGAATTGAGTTAAAGTGAATTATTTTTTAATGTGATGCAAAAGTATGAGAAATATAATTGAAAATGATTAGTTAAAATTATTTGAGTGAATCGATAATGAATTAAATTTGATGTGATGAATGAGAATAATTGATTGATATTATTTAATTATATTTATAAGAAATTAAGAGAGTTGAGTTGGGTTGAATTTTAATTAAAAGATTGAATATAAAATAATTCAACCAATCATCGATTATAACTCATATTCAATCAGGCCCTAAGATTGGGTATGAAAACTATGAGTTCCTTCACATATTCAATCACGCCTCAAAAGGTTGGGTAAGAAATTTGAGTTCTTATGCAATTAGGGTACTGAATGTGAAATAGTGTGAACATGGAATATGATTTGAAAATTGACCTTAATGTAGATATGAAAATCGCTATGATTTAAACATTAACGTTATTAATTTAGATATGAAAATCGCTATTTACACTTATTTATATATAGCTATTACAAATATACATCTTTTCCACTAGTTTGTTAAGATGCTTGTAAAATTAAAATATTTTATACACATAAAGGAAAATCATTGCAATCTACTTGGAAAGTTCATATAGTCAACCATCGACAACTTGCACAAGGTCAACTTCTTGCAAGGTTCACTAGTTTAACAGACTTAATATTATGCGGCTTTCACTCAAGTTATATCCAGATTTTGAGAAATCACTACACATTACCTTTCAAAGTGCATTATGTCCAAAACTTGAAAAGAAAGAACCCAAGTCACAGATCACCAAATGGCAGCTTATGCAGCTTTAGTGTCTCTTAATCATATCATTAACCAACTCCAGCATCATCCCAACACTCCAATTTCTCTTGAAAAAAATCAAACTGAATCTCTAACTGAGAAGATTACTTTCCTGCAAGAATTTCTCGAGAGTTATTCAATTAATAGTGGCAACGAAGAATATGAGCATGACTTGTTGAGTCGCATTGCAGATGCAGCATACGAGGCAGAAGACATAATCGAATCCAACATAGTCATCCAAATTCTTGCAAGTACTACAACTGATCTTGAGGAGGATAAAATCAGGTCCAGTGATTTATATCAAGGTCTAAAGAAAGTGATCCTAGGCATGGATCTGATCAAAAGAGAAGTCATGGAGATTAAAGAGATGAAAAGAATCCAAAATCCGAAACAGCAAATTTCGGCCTCTGCTGGCTCACGAGATTTTCTTTCCACGGCTCACAGAATCATGGTTGGTTTGGAAGATGTCAAAATCGAGATCATGGATAGGCTCACCCGTCCGTCAAGCTATCGTCAAATTACACTGATTTTCGGCATGGGTGGCATAGGTAAGACTACATTAGCCAGAAATATTTATTCAGCTCCACTTATTAAGCACCACTTTGACATTCTTGCCTGGGCCACGATTTCGCAACAATATAATGCCACAGAAATTCTTCTACAACTTCTCGTATGTGTGCAAGGCGAAGGGAACAGGGGAAGCTTGAATCACAAGAGCCAACATGAATTGGGAGAAATATTGTACAAAACTTTGGTAGGTAGGAGGTATTTGGTTGTACTGGATGATATGTGGAGTATTGAGGCATGGGAGAAGGTGCACTTCTTTTTTCCTGACAACAACAATGGAAGTAGGATGATGGTAACAACTCGTATGTCGGATTTGGCTATCCAATTAAATGGCTCAGATATTCTCGAGATGAATCTTCTAGATGGAGATAAAAGTTTGAATCTACTCTGCAAAAGTGTGTTTGGAGAGCAGGAATGTCCTCTTGAATTGAAGGAAACCGGAATGAAGATTGCCAGAAACTGCAAAGGGCTTCCTTTGTCGATTGTCGTGATTGGAGGACTCTTGGCAAAGTCCAAAAAAACTCTACAATACTGGGAATACGTCGCAGAAAATTTAAACCCCATTCTGAATAGAGAAGATGATGAACGCTGCTTAAAAGTATTAGAGACGAGTTATAACTGGCTGCCAGTTCACCTGAAGTCATGTTTTATGTATATGGGCATTTTCCGCGAAGATAGCACGATTCGTGTTTCTGATCTTATCAAATTATGGGTCGCCGAAGGATTTCTGAAACCAATTCCTGGAAAAACCTTGGAAACAGTTGCAGAAGATAACCTGAACGACCTCATCCAAAGAAACCTCGTTTCAATCCATTCGTGCAGCTTTAACGGGAAAATAAAATTCTGCAGCATGCACGATATCTTGAGAGACCTCTGCTTAAGAGAAGCTCGCAAGCACAAGTTTCTTTGCATAGTAAGTCGACACGATCTTGAAGTCCGGCAAATCCAAGACAGGCGTCATATTGGCGTTCATGCTGGCACAACTCCTAAATCCATCGACACCCTGCAATCGGCGCCCTTTGCCCGTTCTTTAATATGCGACATTCATTTTCAAGACGTTTTACCATTGCGTACCTTCAGATTGCTGAGAGTGTTGCGTGCGCAGAGAGCGATTAATCAGAAAACATATTTCGGAAAACGAGATGTCAGGTACCGACCAAATGATATTTTTCAGCTAGTGAACTCACGGTTCCTTGCGGTGGACTCTGACTGGAGCTGGATATCTCGAGTTCCTTCCTCAATCCACCTCTTCTGGAATCTGCAGACGTTAATCGTTAAGGGCAGGCACCAGCTTTTCGCGCCACCCGAGATATGGAGGATGCCTCGGCTCAGGCACGTCAAATTCGACGAACTCTATCTCCCAAACACCCGAGGAGACGACGAATTCGTTTTGGATAGCTTGCAAACGCTGTCGAGAGTAGGAGATTTCAAGTGCGGTGAAGATGTGATTAAGAGAATCCCTAATTTAAGAAAATTGAAAATATTTTACTGGGCGCTCGAGGGATGGTCGAGATACAGCCTCGGCAACCTGCAGCTTATGCGCAAGCTCGAGTCCCTCGGCTGCTACTGGTGCGCGCACGAGATGCGGAGCGGGAAGGAACTGGTCAGGAGCCTCGCATTCCCGGGCTGGCTCAGGGAGCTGACCTTGGAAGGCTGCCGCCTCGAGTGGGGAGACCTGGCCGCGAAGGTGGGCCCGCTGCCGTCTCTGGAGGTGCTCAGGCTGAAGACGTGGTCGTTCGTGGGGCCCGAGTGGGAGACGGTTGAGGGGCATTTCTGTAATCTCAGGGCTCTGCTCGTTTGTCGGTGCGACGATCTGGAGCGGTGGACGACGGACAGGGCACACTTTCCTCGGCTAGAGCGACTCCGGATGCGGAGGATGTACCGGCTGAGGGAGATACCGCCGGAGATTGGGGAGATAGCGACGCTTGAATTGTTGGAGGTGACCGGTTGTACGCCCACCGCCAATGCCTCTGCGGTGAGGATAAGGGAGGAGCAGGAGGAGATGGGGAACGTGGGCCTTCAAGTTCGAGTTGGCCCATGAGATGTGTTGACCGGGGAGCTGGGGAACGTGGGCCTTTGAGTTAGTATCGGCCTACGAGGTGATCATGGTCTGGTTAACATGGGTGTTGGGGAACGTGGGCCATTGAGTTCGAGTTGGCCCAAAAGATGTTAATGAACTAATTAATTAGGGTAATTTACATACATCCTATACGTTTTATAAATAATTGCAATTTTACGGTTGGCAACAAATAATTTGTATCAATACCCAACTCTTCCAAAATAATTATACTATTACATAAAATTTGTTTCCAAATGAGAAACATGCCTTAAAAACCGAAAGTGATTAATGAAAGAGAAAAAAAAAATTTATATTTGGTAATGTATAAACTAACCATCTCTCTCTCTCCTCGAAGATTGTTAGAGATTTTAGGCCTTCCAACAATGTTGCAGCGGTGGCCGGTGGAGATTGAAATCGCTCCCAAAATATAATTATTCTTTTTTCTTGTAAATTTAGGTTTTTCTTATGATTTTTTGTGAGAATTTTGGGGAGGATGATGTTTGAGAAATTGGATGGATGTAAATGGCGGGTATAAGGGGGAAGGTTTTGGAATTTCCCCTGTCTGGTGGAAGAGGAGGGGCAAGTATCAGGATTCATGGAGGGGGAGGAAGTCATTTGGGAAAAAGACGAGCAGTTTATTTATAGACAATATACACCAAATATAATTTAAATATACTTTAAATATACACTAGAGTTTCAATTGTTTCTCAAAATCGATTTAAGAACTCACATATACATAAAATATACATAAGATATACCCTCGAGATTCTCGGAATTCAAGCACTAACAGATCAAGACACACATATACATAAAATATACATAAAATATACTATCGGTACTGTTCAATTGTCTCTCATTTCAGAACCCATATTAGGAGCCGAAACTGTAGCCATGGCCCTTGTCTCTGCATCCGCAGGCTCACTCGACGGCGTCGGTTCTTCCCCTCCTCGACGGCGACGGGCGTATCTCGGTGGCGTCGCCTCGGTCGGCTGAGAATTGTGCGACGGGGAGAAGGAGATGGATTCCACCATCGAGAATCTACCCCCATCATCGGAAAATCGTCGCTCGTGTACCATCATCACGCTCGAGAAGTCGTCGGTGATAAAGACTTGGAGAAGTCGCGAATCAGCATGATCGATTCTCTTCGGTAGCAAGTTGTCGAGGAGCCGCAAACAGAAAAAAGAAAAAAAAGAAAAAAAAAACTCTGGTCGTATAAACTTGTAGAAGAAGAAGAGAGAGAGAAGGAGAGTTATTTGGAATGTGATAAAATTTTTACCTTTAATTACGGATAAAGAAAATTTCCCCAAATTTAATCTTTAATGTGGTATTTGTGCAAATAAAATCAATAGATTATGTTAATATGCTAATATTTTTTAGGGGGTTATATTTATGTAATGAAAACATAAAGGGACCGTACCTGGTGCAAATTCCTCTAATTAATATGGATTAAATCCTAAATCGTATTGTCCATTTCTTAAAAGAAAATGAGATCATATGTTAGAAATAAGGGCATTCTTTATTTTTTCTAAAAAAATTATTTACATTAATGAACGTGTTTAATTTAATATTAAGTCAAAATTGCTTGTGAGTTTTCAATTTTACGTAATTTGATGACCTTTTTG